GGTAATGAGGCCAACTACAGTTGTGTCATCCACAAACTTGACAATGTGGTTGGTGCTGTAGGTTGGCACACAGTCGTGGGTCAGCAGTGTGAAGAGCAATGGGCTGAGCACACACCCCTGTGGAGCCCCTGTGCTCAGCGTGATGGTCTTAGAGATGTTTCTGCCGACCCATACATTTTGTGGCCTCCCTGTTAGGAAGTCCAGCACCCAGGTGCAGAGAGAAGTTTTGAGTCTTAAGTGTCTAAGTTTTTGTGTAAGCAGCTGGGGAATTACTGTGTTGAATGCTGTGAAATCTAGGAACAGCCTTCACATGTAAGAGTTCTTTGAATCTAGGTGGGTGAGGTGTAAACCCTCAAGGTTGTGTTGGGATTTCTGAGCTTCTTTGGAAACCACTGTTTGTACACAATGCACATTATTCCTTTTCAGATACAAGTTAATTTGTGGAAAAATGCTTCTGTTTTTAATTTCATGACTTTTAAATCATGACATCCTGGAATTTCTGTTTTGTCAAAAAGCAAAATAAAAGGTTGACCTTTCATTTTAATATGCATCACAGGCCAGCGGCCTTGAAACATGTGGGGAAAAAACTTTCCAGCTGTAATACAGTTTATCTGGAGAAATTTAAGACGACACACTGTAGATTCCTGTTGTAATTTAACTACTGTGGACTCAAATTCTACATCACACGGAAAACAAAGTTCTGCATGTTTAGTTGTTGGCTTCTGAGGTGCTGACTGTGAAATATTAACGGCACTGAAGTGATTATTTGTGCTGAGCTCTGATGACAGAAGATACGGAGGATGTCCAAAAATTGTAAATAAGCAAAAGGTATTGATTTTCTTACTATCTGACATTTTCCAGCAGATCTTAAGTGGTAGATGTTAGTGTAGGAGGAAGTGCCATTGGCTTCATTTAGTTTCATCCTTACATCTGCAGAAAAACTGATCTTATCAGTTTTTGCATCTTTAATGTTAAGAGATAAAAGCTGGAGACATTTGAGGTAACGTGTTTCTATTGTGACATCCAGTATGTATCATGATGTATTTTTTATATATATGTTTTCTTTTTAGATGCTCAGTGGTGGTTTGTCTTTAGTTTGTACAGAACTTAATCTTTGTAAATGAAGGTTCTTCATCACAAGTGTTAAGTGCTTCTGATGAATGATAGTCTTATTAAATGCATTTTTGAGAAGGTTTTTCTCATGGCTACTGTTCCACATCTGTCATTTAGGACACAACAGCAGCTCCACAGAGTAATAAATCTCTCTCTGATAACAGCTGACCTGCACACTCACAATCAGTTAAATCACATTAAAAATAAAGGAATCTGTCTTGATGACAGGAGACTGCTGTGGCTCTGCTCCCTGCAGCCTGTCCTGCACACCTCCTGGCTGAGGAACGAACTGCTGCCATGCTGTGTGCTTATTGGCAGCAGCTTGCGATTCCGATGGATTGCTCATTTAATACCAGTAGTGGGTTATAAAGTCTGAAAGGATATTTAGCAAAATTTTGTTTAGACTCAGCGACTGCGTATTGCCATATTGAATACCCCCACGCAGTTTCACGATACTCAGTACGTCATCCTCCCACCCCAGCCGTAAAAAAGGAAAGCACCTGTCATTAAATTCACTCTGCTGAGGAACGAACTGCTGCCATGCTGTGTGCTGATGGGAGGACAAACCTCTGCCTGCAAGTTGCTGCTGATGGGCTGGGGAAAAGAAAACATTTTGTAGTGTAGCCACTTGTAGAGATACTCATACAAACATCCATCCATTATCGATACCGCTTATCTGGAAGAGGGTGGCGGGGGCCTGGAACCAATCCAAGCTGACGAGAGGCAGGGTCCACCCTGGACCGGTCTCCAGTCTGTCACAGGGCTGACACTTAGAGACAGATGGCCACACGCACTCCTAGGGGCAATTTAGAGCCACCAGTCAACCTAAGCTGCATGTCTTTGGACTGTGGGAGGAAGCTGGAGTTATCACACAGAGAACATGCAGCCTCCACAAAGAAAGGCCTGTTCTTGATGTGAGGCGGCAGCGCTAACCACTGCGCCACCATGCCGCAACATTTCAATTCATTTCCGATTCATACCGCAATTAATTGAAAGCTGCTGTGTGAACCTCTGCACAGGGGAACACACGGAGAGCCACGTGAGGTTGCCTTCACGTGCCATGGGAACAACATGTAACTGAGCTGAGATGCGTCACCTCGTGTGCAAAAAAAGTCTGATAATGAGTCCGTGCAAATTCATCCAGGTAGTACTACGCTGAAAAAACGTAGAAGAAGGCATCTGGACGTGGTTTTAGGTAGAAGACGTTTCACCTCTCATCCAAGAGGCTTCATCAGTTCTGTCTGACTGGTGGTGAGCAGGAGGGATTTATCCCACTGGGTGGCGTTTCAGTGCTTGGAAAGCCAACGATGTCCCCTAACGCCTGAGTCGTTGGAGTCCCCTGGTGGCGTCCTCGTTAGAGGACATTGTTGGCCACCAAAGGACTGGAACTCAGGTGTTCCAGTCCTTTCAAAATATAGGCTTACTTAAAGTAGTAAAAGTAAAAATACTCATAATGCAAAAAAACGATGTTTATCATATTATAACTTAGTCTTATCATACTATATTTTATATTAATCTGGTTCTGAAAAGTAACTAGTAACTAAAGTTATAAAATAAATGTAGTGGAATAAAAGGTACAACATTGGCCTCTAAAATGTGGTAAAGTCAAAGTATGAAGTAGCAGAGAATGAAAATACTTTAGTACAGATACCTCAAAATTGTACTGAGTAAATGTATTTAGTTGTAAATGTATTTAGTTACTTTCCACCGCTGCAGCTAAAACATTTAAATGTTTCCATCAATAAAATCAGATAAGACAGAACTTAATTCATCCCACAATAGGTTTTAGACAAAAGTGACTATTCTGAATTATGAATTCTTTTACTATTGGTACTTTAAGTGTATGTACTTAGGCAAAGTAAAATTTGAATGCAGGACATTTACTTGCAACAGTGTGTGAGTGTGTTTACACTGTGGTTCTGCTGTTTTTACTTAAGAAGTGGGAACTTCTTCCAGCACCGATGAAATCTCTTTCCAGGAACTGGAGGAGAACAAAATGATCCGTGCTCAAAAAAACTGCACAACAACCAGAGCATCTACAGCAGATCCCACATAGGTC